GCCAGAGAGGCAGGTAAGTCAGCAAGGTGTGCGCACAACACAGGGTTTAATCGGCCCTTAATTGAAGCAGTGTTTTTTAAAACCCACCGCTTAAATTTAGGGCCCCTGTTTTGTCTACACGTGCCCCTGGATAACAGTCATGGAGAAGTCACTCATCAGCCTTTGTTTTACACTCTATAGTAGAGAGTATCACGGAAAAAACTTATTGTCAATATAATTTTTCCCTTTGTTTTTTTGAGAGAGCGCACAAATATAATCGGTCACTTTAACAAAAAAAATAGTGCTCTAGAATGGGTAATGATAGGACAGCAGAATCAATACATAGTGGTTTTTATGACAAGGTTCTTTTTTTAGCCATCTCTATTGGTGAGTATTAGGGCCCCGCCTGAAATTCTAACTGATACCAGCCAATTTGGGGTGTGACTTTCTTTGGCGCTTTATTCTCACTTTTTGAATGTAAGGAACAAGAAAAGAAGTGAAGTATGAATTCACATTAGTAGCAGTGTTCAAATCACATTAAACATGAAACTCTTAAGTAGGGCAGCATTGGACTAAGTATATAGGGCAGTATTATTAGAATCCAATTGATTTTCACAGAGCTATGCTGATTTATACTAGTAGAGGATCTGCTACATTGTCATAGACTCTATTCAGAACAGAGCAGAAGCTTGCACCAATTTATAGTGACCAGCCCCAGTCAACCAAGCTTGAAACTAGAAAAAGTAATAAAAAAATATTGCCAAACCTCTGCAGTCATCTGAATGCCAAGTACATTTCACATGAAATACATTTTTTTTTTTTTTAAAAAGGATCTAATTCCATAAGCATCTTGCAAACTGGAAAGAATGTTGAGACAGAAAAGAAACCAGACATTTTCTATAAAGATTGTAGCCAACCCTGGTAAGGGGAAAAAAAAGTTGAAAAATTCTAATGCACAGTTAGCTATCCAAGAAACTTTAATTTATTCAGCAATTATGGATGCAAAAGATAACCTGTGTAAATGCTGGCCTTGGCAGAATTACAAAGGTAATATTTTTGCACAGGAGAACTGTCATTGAATAGTTTTCTAATGGATTCAGAACATTCATTATTTCTTCCAGAACAAGGCATATGTACCATTTTGTTTCTTCAGTAAATATTGTTTATACCAAGCAGTGCAAGGATTAGACCATTTGTGTCAAAGCCTCTGTGTCACCCTTACAGGATTCTAAGGCATTGAATAGACTGCATCCTATGCCGTCTACCCTTAGAAAACCCAATATCCCTCTTAAAACAATACAGGGTAAGATAGCCAAATTAGTCAATGAGAGTAATGGGGCCAGTTATAGATGCAGTCTGAATGCTCCACAGTGTTAATCTTTTGTTTTTATTCCAATTAATAATAAAAAATGCCCTTTGCTCATCCATCCAACTATCCATTCTACTCAAGAAGTTAGCTATCCAGAACAAAAATCTGCAATATCACTGAAGGATGCTGTAACATCTTTTTAAAATACCAGTTTAGGGCACTTCTTAAATTTCTTGTATTGGTTTTTCTTTTAAACTAGCCCCACAGTTCTATAGGGGTAGGTTAACCTTAGACGTTTCAAGATGAGAATAACAAGCCTTTAGATCATCAAACATAATTGATAACTGATCGATACCTACAATATATAATTGGTATGTCAAACATTAATCATTTTACTTTATTTGGTTCTTATAAATAGTTTTTCTTTTAATTTTAATTTATTTGAAGAATATGCCTGTTTACAAGAATCTTCATTGTTCCAAAGGCACTAAGGCCCATGACTACCTGTCTTAGATTTTACCTTCCGCTCACCCCAGAAATATGCATCAGGTGCAGAAGAACACTCAACCCAGGGGAGACGCATAGCTTTTGCATTGTTTCAGTGGGAAGCCCATGCCCTCGCAGAAGCTAATCTTGCTTGACCCAGTGAGGGTCTCCATTATCTCATTGGGTACTTTAGCACATCCTTTGGTGTGTCCATTGTGTCAGGTTCCAGCTGGTTAAGAGGGGAGATGTCTTATTTAGATCCAGTTCCGTAAAGGGAGTGTATCCATCTGACAGAAATCAACACTGATGTTAGTATAAAGCAAAGGTAGGGAAGGATCCACCTTTGGCATGATTTCATAGATTTCATAGATATTAGGGCTGGAAGGGGCCTTGAAGATCATCAAGTCCAACCCCCTGCCCCAGGAGCAGGAAGTCAGCTAGGGTCAAAGGATCCCAGCAAGATAAGTATCCAAACATTTCTTGAAAAAGTCCAGGGTACATGCCTGTACCCCTTCTGGAGGGAGTCTATTCCAGGCCTTGGGGGCTCGGACAGTTTTAAACTTCATAAAGAAGTTTTTCCTTATGTCCAGCCTAAAACGGTCATGGAGGAGTTTTTGACTGTTGGTCCTTGTTATCCCTTGGGGAGCTCTGGTGAACAGATGTTCCCCCAGATCCTGATGCATACCCCTTACATACTTATAGGCAGGCACCAGGTCACCCCTGCCTGTGCTTTTCCAGGCTGAAGAGTCCCGTGGCTCTCAGCCTCTCATCATAAGGCCTATTCTCTTGCCCTCTGATCATGCACATGGCTCTCCTCTGGATTCTCTCATTGTTCCTGAATTGTGGAGCCCAGAATTGGATGCAGTACTCCAGCTGCAGCCTAACCAAGGCCGAGTACAGCGGGAGGATGATGTCCTGAGATTTACTTGAGAAGCATCTATGGATGCAAGACAGAGTTTTGTTTGCTTTACCAGCTGCAACATCACATCGGTGGCTCATGTTCGTTTTGTGGTCGGTCATGACCCCCAAGTCTCTTTCAGCTATGGTGCCTAGTGAGCATAGCACTGCCGAGCCTATAAGCATGCTGTGGGGTCCCGCTTCCCCACCCCTTGATGTACCTTGCATTTTTTTTGATATTGAGCATCATCAGGTTTATATCCACCCACTTGCTAAGCTTATCCAAGTCAGCCTGGATTACCAGCCTATCCTCAGGTGTGGACGCTGTGCCCCAAAGTTTAATGTCATCGGTGAACTTGGCCAGTGCGCATCGTTGATAAAGATGTTGAAGAGAACCGGTCCAAGGATAGAGCCTTGGGGGACACCACTGGTCATGGAGTGCCATAATGATTCACTTCCATTGACTACTACTCTCTGGGTCTGACCTCAGAGCCAGTTTCCCAGCCATCGGACTGATGTAGCCAAGGCCACAGTTGGCCAGTTTTTCCAAGAGGAGATTGTGGGACACCAGATCAAAGGCTTTTTTTAAAGTCCAAATATATGATGTCAATCTATTCTTCTTTGTCTAGGTGATATATCACCTGGTCATAGGAGATGAGATTGGTCAGGCAAGACCTACCCATGACAAACCCATGCTGGCTGTCCCTCAGGATGTTGCCATCAGCCAGCTTATCAAGAAGGGTCTCTCTGATAATTTTCTCCAGAATCTTACTGGGGATTGAGGTCAAGCTGATTGGCCTGTAATTCCCGGGATCTACTTTCCGCCCTTTCTTGAAGATGGGCACCACATTGGCCTTCTTCCAGTCTTCAGGTACTTTGCCTGAGCGCCATGAGTTTTTTTTGAATAGTTTTGCCAATAGTTGGGCCAGCTCCTTCAGTACTCTAGGGTGTAATCTGTCAGGACCAGCTGACTTGAAGATGTCCAGCCTCTCTAGGTGTTCCTTTACAAGGTCTACACCGATGCTGGGTATAAATATGCCCTCACCCTGGTCATCCTGTGTCATGCTAGGTAGGGTGGTCCCTTTGGGCTGATGAAAGACCAACATGAAGTACCCATTAAGCAGGTTGGCTTTTTCTCAGCAGGAGTCCAAAGTTACCCTTGCTTTTTTTCCGACTCCCTACATATCTGAAAAAGAACTTTTTATTATCCTTGATATGAGAAGCCAGATGGAGTTCAGTTGCAGCCTTGGCTTTCCTGGTCCGCTCCCTGCAGGCACAGACCAGTACTGAGTACTCCTTCTTGGTGGTTATTCTATCCTTTATAAGTCTCTCTTTTTAGGCATAGGAGGTCCTCAAGTTCCCTGATGAGCCAAGGGGGTTGCTGTGCCCTTTTGCTAGCCTTCCTCTGAAATGGGATGGACAACCCTTGTGCTGTCAGGATTGCTCCCTTGAGGAGCAACCATTCATCTTGGACTCCTCTTCCTGTCGAGTCATGGTCCCTTAGGGCCTTGACAACAAGCCTCCTGAGCTTGTCAAAGTTAGCTTTCCTAAAGTCAAGGACTCCTGCATTGCTGACTGACTTGCCAGCTTTGTGATGGATAGTAAAGGTGATCAGCTCGTGGTCACTATCACCCAGCTTTCCATCGATTCTTAGGTCACCGACTAGATCATCCCCTTTGGCAAGTACCAGGTCCAGCAGCACTTTACCTCTTGTCAGCCCATAGACTTCTTGAATCAAGTACAGCTCGTTCACACACGTGAGGAAGCTTTGCAACTGATCATGGTGATGCCAGTGTCCACCTTTTGCCCCAACAGTGTGGTGGTTAAGGTATTTGCTCAGGAACTGAGACACCTCCCTCATGCTCAGTGGATTGAACCCACGCCTCCTATTCCACAAGAACTTGTCCAGAGCATGCACTAGGCAGCGCTGAGAACATTAACCCCCTCCCCTCTTGAAGCTAAGCTATTGGGCAGCCCAGAGTGAAGACTCATGGGGTCAGAAAGCAAGTAAGCATGATGAAGAGTACTTCTGTAGCCCAATGAAGAGAGCACTCTCCTGGATGGGGGGAGGCCTTCTGTTCCTGATGCAGTTTGTATATCTTGCCTCATGAATAAAACCAAGTTACCCAGAATTAAAAACAAGGGGCCAAATTTGTAAGGGCCTCAACCTTAGTGGTATACCTACAGTCAGCTATTTTTCAAAAAATTGCCAGGATTACCCTTAACCTTCTACCTACTCAAGTTTCAGAGGCAATGAGGTGACTTGTAATCAGCACAGTAAAAATTATGATTTTAGGTACAAAATTGGAGACCAGATTCCAAAGGTAGGCCCTTTACATGTACCAGAAAAATGACATACATTTGTAAGCTACAGTTCTTTTAATTTTACACAATCATTTCTCTAAAATATGTGTAGGTTTTAATGCTAAATAAGCCAAAAGGCATCACCCAGAGAAAGTTTAATCTATTGTCATTGCTGGCCAACACCAAAGACATGCTAGAAATTATTCAAAAGAGAACTGTACAGGGAATCTGGAGTCGTCTCCCTTATAGGCTACTTTAATCAGAGCAAAGCTAAGGAGAAAGATTAAGTACCCTTCCTCTCACCGTATCATAAAAAAGGGAGACAAAAGATAACACTGGAGGGGAAAGATAAAGAAGATAAATTCCAGATGGGCTAACTGTCTTAAGTAATAAATTGAGATCCAGGTGGCTGAGTGAGTTGGGATGATTTTGAGGGAGACCATTTGCTCTGCTTGGACATTAAAGCTCTCTGGTACTTTTCCATAAGAAGAGGGTCTTGTCCTCAAAATCCTTAGCCAAAAGTTTTCTTTCCCTATGTAACTGTTTCTGGCGTTAGTCCCCAAGGTGGTTACATGTCAGCACTTGTGTATATACATGTGTCTTGTCCTGCAAATGTGTTGTGTAAGTACTGAGTTCAGTGGAGATACTGAAGTGCTAAAGGTTAAGTACGTACATAAGTAGGTGCATGATTGATTGGGCAGTAATCTGTAAAACTCTTTGGAATTAAAGTCCTATATGACTGTAAAATAATGCAGAACAGTGAAGCCAAGATGACATGTTAAAAATGTAAATGGAAAAAGTTTAAAAAAAACAACAAAACAACAACAATGAATAAAACATTTTTATTCAAAACAGTCTTTAACCAAAGAGATTCATTTAGTCACCACTGAGATGAAAAAGCAAAGAACATTCCTATAATCAACTGTAATTTAAAAGGGTTTGCTGGGGGGGTTTATAATTAATTTAATTTGTAGTTTTATTGCAGATTTTCAGTACTTTCAGAAGGGCACAGGCAAATTTAATCTAAGGAAGCATGTAAGCTTGCTACAATGTAGAACAAATGACCCAAAGAATCTTGATGAGGGAATGAAACAAAATAAAGCAACCTAACTACAGTAAAAGTTCTGTCATCCAGCATCCCCCGGGAATGGGGGATGCTGGTTAATCAAATGTGCACTGTCTGGTGCACTTTCTGACGTCAGTGCTGGGGGACAGAGATGGGGGCCCCACGCAGGCTGCTTTGCCCCAGGCTGTGGGCTAAAGAAGTGACAAAGAAAAACTTGGCTTGCGGTGGCAAAACTGGAAGTCCCCCAGAAGTGGTACTTCCAGTTTCACTTTTGCCACATCCCTCGGATGCTGGCTAGTAGAGTTTTCTGGCTAATAAAGTGCTGGTTAACACAGCTTTTGCTGTACAAGTATATAAACTTTTTGGTGTTATGAAATAAATCGGCTATAAATGTATATTACAAAAAAGGGGGAAAACAAAGCAAATTGTTTTAAAATAGCATTTTTAAGATTACAAAATCAACAGGAAATGCCAAAATTAGGGCTGTTTGTGCAATCTAAATTCAGGCCCTATGTATGTATGTATAACAATGGTATAATATCGTGATCTGACTCAGCCCCAGTTCCTTCCAGTTGTATTCTTTTTCCATTTCAATTCTATTTCATACCCACAAACTAACTTCTTTATTAGATATTTCCTTCCACCTTCTCCTCTCACCCCAGTGGTTCAGTCCCAGTCTCATTTCCTAGACAATCCCAGCTTCACCTGAGATCTTCATTTTACTCATTTCCTGTCCAAATGTCCCCTTCCAACCCTCTTTTTTTCCTCCAAGATTTCCAGACCCAGTTTCTCTGACCAGTCTTGGCTCTTTCTCCGACCAGTCTTGGCTCTTTCTCCTTGGTTGTAGTCCCAGATGTCTTTTTTCACCGTATAATTCCAGTTTCCACAGTTCTGCTGCTCTCTGCCTTCCCTACTTTTCAGCTCGGCAGGGGCCTCACTGAAATCATGGAGGAGACAAGGCCCCTGCTTTTCGTTTTGGTTCCCAGCCAGGCCCAACCTGGTCCTGGGCTAGAGTGTCGATGGAATCTTTGAGGAATTTATCCCCTGAAGTTCAAGAAGATGGTGTTGTGCGTCTGTGACCTGCTATTTCTCAAAGACTTACAATTTACCAATTCTGCGCACATTAGGGGCTGACATAAGGTGTATCCTTTAAAAAAACAAACAAACAGACAAAAAAGCTATCCTCCCACATTAAGTCCCTGCTTCACACCTAATGCTTTTCAAAGAAACATTTGTCAGGCTTTAGGCAAACCAAACCATCTCTTCCCCTTACCTTATTCTTAGAAACAGCTGAATTCTTGGCTGAAGTTTTCTAAAAATATTCAGCTAGAGGCAAACACCAATTCTTGGTAAAGCTTGGCAGAGTTATAAGCAATTGAAAACAGGGTGTTATGGTGGGGAGTAACAGCGTTAATGATAGCCGGTCTGCAAGGAAGACTTAGGGCTTTTCTTTGTTTCTTTCTTAACTCTTGTTACTTTACTTTGCCCCAGGAGAAAATCCTGCTTTGGCTTCTTCAGTTTATGCAAGAGCAAGGAATATCCCTGGATGAAGCTGACCAGGATGGTAACACTGCCGTTCATGTAGCAGCCCAACATGGTTACCTAGGGTGTATACAGGTAGAGTACCAACACATTTATTTCTGAGATCTAATTTAAATTTGGAAAGTAGCAACCCTTAACAGTTTCTTTAGGTTAAAAAAGGTGATAACTCCTGAGGTGGGGGAGTTCCCTCAGCCCTAGCTCCACATATATTGTGTTTCTTTAAACTGGTGAAGGTACCTGGGAAGAGATCAGCCCCCCTGTCCCTAAATAAATGCCAGCTGAAAGAGGCATCCAGCATGAGATACTGGAGATGAAAGAGCTCCTCCATCCCCTGCTACACCGTGGGGTCACCAGAAGCCTGACACTGGGGAGCCTCTCTCCAGAGTCAGATTTACAGAGCCCAGGGGTGGGCATTCAGTCATGGCTTCCAGGTGCATGCCTAGTTTTTAAAGGTCCCAGGTGTTGTGACCCCAGCATCAGAGAAAAGCTCCCCAATGTCAAGCTCATGGCACCCTGGACCTGTGGGGGGGGGGGGGGGGGAACCAAACAAACAAACAAAAAGGCAAAAAACAAAAAAAACCCAAAACCCTGGTCTGGGGAACAGGCAGGGGTTTGCCCTGCTGCACCCTTCCCTCCCAAAGACCACCAGAAATCTTTCCATGAAGGGGAACATACATGCATTGTAGCCTGCAGCCACTTCCTCTTCCCTGCTCTCCATGCCTTCCCCAGCCCAGGGAAATCGCAGTCTGGGGAAGGTACTGGGAATCTTTCTCTGCCTCTTCACTCCTCCTGGTCCTCAGTAGGGAGTAAAGTAGCTGCTGTTCCCTATGTCTTCCCCACACCAGAATCACCCTGGTGTGGGGCAGAGGCAGGGGCAGATAGCAGGGGAGGGGGAGTGGCTGCAGGCTGAAATGCCTGACACACCCTCTCTTGGAAAGACTTCCAGTGGTAGAAATTTCTCCGATATTCCCACTACTAGCAATAAATGCCTGTTCATGCCCTTTGAAAGATATCAGATAAGACTCTGTACAGCTTACTCTGAGATTCTCAGCACATACGTGCTAACATTGTCTTAAGTTTTAAGACAATTGCAAAAATGATTTAGAAAAAAATAAATGTAAGGAATGTAAAACGTGCAGGATCTACCAGCTGGAAATACTGTCATAATTTAAGGTTATCAAATTCGACAGTGTCCTTTCGAGCTGTGCAGTAGCTGAAAGAAGTACCTAGCAAATAACGTTAAGTGAAATGGTGACAATTCATATCCATGCTTATAAATGAAATTAAACCAACTGTAGAAAAAGCTGTTTCCTTTTGAAAAACTAAGGCCGCCTGTACATGTGTTGGTGAAAGTGCCATGAGATCTAATGCAGAATCCTGCAACACATCTCCTGCCATGCTATACATGCAGGAGGCATGTATACATGCTGTACATACATGCAGGAAGCATGATTGTCAGTGGTCTACTTAAATTGTGGCAAGACAGAGTTTCTTTGCAGTCCACTTGCAACATGTAGAGCTGATTTCATGGGTAAGAGGGAAAAAAGGTTATATAAGGTATAGGCAGTCTCTCAGGCATTCAGTCCTGCAGTTATCTCTTATGGAATGCTGCGAGCAACAGGCATGTTCCAAAACAGTCGGCACACTCCATACCTCTGTTCAAAATCTTTGCTTTCTTGGTGGTTGGCTTTATAAACAAGCGAGCCCAAAATAATCAATGTGAGCAGCTTTGGGCTGAAGTGTAAAAATTTCCCTCCTGGCCTTAGACCCAAGATTCTTCTAATCAGCAGGGCAGCTCTGCCCCTCCTTTCCTTCAAGACAAGATAATGAGCTGCATTTGCCATAAGTTAAGTGTCCTATTGTTGTTTTTGGAAAAAAAAAAAAAAAAAGAGGAGGGTGGGGGGCCAAGGTATATAATCAGATGAGTCAACAAAAGAAGCCTGGAACATTCTTTCATCATCTGCACACTGCATGCTTTTTAAAATACTAATTGCTTGTAGCCATCTTGAAAAATTATATTAATTCTTAGCAGTGTAACAACATGCTCTGATCAGTGCGTTTGTCTGTAAATTGCCAAGCTCAGTTACACCCCAACCAACACACTGCCATAATGCACATAAATAATAATTCTAAATGATCAAGGCCTGAAAGGTTCAAAGGGTCAGTATGAATATATCCCTGAATTTAACCATACCTTTTTGAAGTCCCCCCTAGACCCAAACATATTTCTTCCCCACACAGCTCTCTCTCCTGGAGCCCCGTGCTCATCTCTAATTGGGCTGTCACCTGCTAAACAACACCGGGGGATGTCTGTTATCCCCTTCCAACAACAAATTGTCTTCAGGATGTAACTAGGTATATTGCTGTCATACTACAGTGCTTAGCAATTTTCCAGATGCTTTTAGCTTGAGAACATTGTGTGCTGTGCACCTAGAATTCATCTATATTATTGCCAGATTCCAAGTGGGTGAAATTTACTCATACTGATCCCCATTTTCACAAAACAAATAGTCCTCACAAGAGTAAAACTGGTGGAGTCTGGGATTCCATTAGCTCCCAACCAGGAATTGGACTGCTGCCTTTCTTTAGAGGACTAGACCAGAGGACTGGAAGTTGGGAGCAGCTGCAATGACCTTAAAAGGCAGAAAAGACAAACCTGGCAATTACAGAACAGTAAATCTTAGTTCAGCATCTGAAAAACTGATTAAAATAATAAATGTATAGTGTTTTTGTTTTTGTTTTATTTTAAAGAGCACAGCTTTGCTAAAGGAAAATTGTGCTATGCCAGATTTCTTTGAGTGGATTTGCCATATTGCCCATCCCCCAAAAACCCTATAGGCCAAAGGAATAGCTCATAGTTTGCTTTGCTGGTGTTTATTATACCCAGGGATTCTCCTGTGCCTGGGAAATTCCCAGGTGAGCCAGAAAGGGGGTCACTCATTTCAGAATAAGGGCATTATTAAAATCTGAGCCACTTAATCGTTTACAGAGAAAGACAAACTTGATATAAGTATATCTGAAAGAAGGTATTGTATTGTCACAAAAGAAACTTGGTAGATATCCAGAAGCGAGCTCTCTGCTTTTATTCATTGGTGCCAACCATGCTGTACAAATCTGGATTTAAAACTAAAGGTTCACTAATAGAGGTTTTTGGGGCCGATACTGATAGGCAATATTTAAGGAGGCATATTGGCCGATACCAATCCGACTTCTGATATAGCTGCCTCCAACTGGTAAGTCTGGTGTTGTGGAAGGGAAGGGGCATGGGGGTGGGGGGTGCAGATCAATGCCCCCTGTGGTGAGGGAGGGGGCAAAGGCAGGTGCTGCCTGGGCAGGGGGGGCGGGGCCAGAGCCATAGCTCATGGGTGGGGAGGCGGCTCTCATCACTGCTTTCACCCCGAGGGGGCATGGGGGGGCACACATCCCCCGGATCTGCACGGGGCAGGGCAGGCTGCAGCTGGAGCTGTGTGCGGCTCTTCTCAGTGGGGGCTGGGTTCATAGCAGGTGCCGGCGATGCAGGGAGGATGCTGCATCCACCCCAAATTTTGCCACCGCCCCGCTCCCAGCGTTGTCACTGCCAGCTGCCCACTACAGCCCTGGCTGAATGCCCCACCTCTACCCACAAGCCAGGGCTGTCGGGCAGCTGGCAGTGGTGGTGCTGGGAGTGGAGCAGAGGCGAAATTTGGAGTGGATGTAGCATTCTGCCAACGCCCACTCCGAGAAGAGCCCTGCCCTGCCTCACGCAGATCCAGAGGCACACGCCCTCCCAGGGTGCAAGAAGTGGTGGGAGCCGCCTCCCCGCCCCGTGCCATGGAGCCACGGTTCTGGCCCCCCCCCGCCCCGCTGGGGTAGCGCCTGCCCCCTCCCTCACCATGGAGGGCGTTGATCTGCACCACCCCCACATCCCTTTTATCCCTTTCCACCACACCAGATTTACCAGCTGGAGACAGATCTCCATACTACCAGATTTGCTTCTCACTGCCCGAGTGCTACGCTGCGGCTGCGCACAGCACAGGCATTTATCGGCCCCATCAGGCCAATATCCGATACAGGCAGTTTTCTTTATATTGGTACTGATCCGATATCAGACCAATGTATCGGTGCACCTCTATTTAAAACTTCTTATAAAAGTTATGCTGTGTACACAAAATAGCAAAAGATGCAATAATCAAGTTTTCCCTAGGACAGAAACAAGAGGAAGGAAAAATGTGCTTTTATAATCGACTGAAGGAATAGCACTCTTCTAAATAACCCCTTCTCCTCATTGTTAAAGTTGAAGATGCAAGGTGGAGGCTCCGACTTGCTCTGAAGTGGTTCATGCAACTGATTCTTGAAAATAATCAGTTTAGACCTGTCTTGTACAACATACAGCCCGCGGGCTGCCATGCTGCCTGCCAAGCTGTTTTCTGAGGCCCGAGGTGCTGCAACGGGAAACGAAAGTAAACACTGTTTACTTTTGTTCCCACCCCTTGTCCCTCCCCCAGCCCCTCAGCAGCTTCCTAATGGCTGCTGAAGGGCTGGGAAAGGGACAAGGTTCCCACACGCACCACGTCAGCTTGACGTTGCTGACGTGGTGCGTGTGGTCCAGTCTGACATCCGGTGTAAGACAGGCCATAGAATTTCACCTGCTGAATTTCACCACTTCCTGTGAGGTCTTTGAATATGGCTCGCCGGGCCACTAGGTGATAAAATGTTCATGATCCAACCCCACATTCCAAAAGGTTGGACACCCCTGGTTTAGACCAAGGTTTCCAAAACTGAGTCCCTAAAACTAGAGTTTTAAATACACAAGGTGCCTAAAATAACTGTGGTTTCCAGTGGTGCCAAGGACCTGTCAGTTCCCAGTAAATTGAAGATCTCAGTCTTACATTATAATACAGTACAGTCCATTTTAAAGACACTTACAGCTACTGATTTTGTTTCTACATCTTTGCAGACATTGGTTGAATATGGAGCAAACGTCACTATGCAAAACCATGCTGGAGAAAAACCTTCACAAAGTGCTGAGCGACATGGGCACACCATGTGTTCCCGTTACTTGGTCGTTGTGGAGACATGCATGTCATTGGCATCTCAGGTTGTGAAGCTAACTAAACAACTGAAGGAGTGAGTTTCTCATTCATATTAGTGGGATGCTGGTTACACTACAACTGTTCTTCCACCTGGGTTCTCCCTCACCTTCAGGTTTTAATAATGTCCTTTTTTTTTTGCTGCTTACTCGCACAGTCTCGCAATTCATGTGTACCTCTTTTTACTCCACCCATCATACTGTTCCCAGCTTGTTTCCAACTGTTCCTTCATTTTTAACTGCTTAGCTGTTCAGCAGCTTTCTTTGTGACAGTTTTCTGGCTTTTGTCAAAATATCCATGCATTCATATTAAGGTAAGTAATTGCCTATCTCTCTCACTTTGAAAATGCCAGGACACCATTATTGCTATTCATATTTTCTGTTCACATAACATGTATTCATAAGCACTGAAATGGCTGTTCCCAGCTACAGTGTTGGATGTTGATGTTGGGAGGAATAATGGAAATAATATTTAGAAGGTCTTTGGTATTTGGAAGGCTCCCAAAACCTGCAAGGGCTACTCGGGAAATATTGAATGTTCTGTTTTTCCTTTATATGAGCTAGTTTGAGTGCCGTAGTATGACTCTTTGCTATGAACTAACTATATAGCGCCTAACTTCTCAGAATGTGAAGTGTATAATTGGTCATGTGTTTTGTTTGCAGTTATTGTGAATGAGACTATGAATGACCACTTAAGGTGGAATTTTCAGAAACACTCACCATTGGTCTAACTTGGCTCCCATTGAAATCAGCAGTAAAACTCTTATTGACTGCAGTCCAATGAAATTAGTCCAGCAGGGACTTTTGAAAACCCTGTTTTTAATGCAGACCATATCCGTTTTATACACATACCACACGATGGTTTAGGTAACAAAGTTCCGTGATTAATTGGAAATTTCATCTTGAAAATGTTGTCTTTAAAAGAAGAACTATTATTTATTTTCTTTGGCTGTAAATATGTGCATCTTCCTTGTAGTAATTTTTATGTAACAAAAGGACTAAAATAGCAGCTTGTCTTTATCTTGCAAAATACTTTACCGCATTTGAGGTATTTAGGTTTTGCATATATACATGCGTACAATTCATGTGTGTACTTTTCTTATATTAAATTATATCTTAAGTTTTTACATATATGGACAAACATACACACACGCATACAGAGAACAAGAAAACTGAAAACTCATTCTTTCGTTTTATTATTATTGTTGTTATTATTATATTTTGCATTATATTTTCATGAAACCCAAACCAGAATAGAAATAAGAAGTATAAATGACAGCCATAAATTCTCCAGGTTTCACCCTGTCATAGGCTAGGCTGCTTGTGGCATGAAGCTGACTGTTGTCTCTTCTCCACTATCTTCCCACAGCCCACATGCAGAGCCAGAGGGGCTCCCCTCCAGGGACTCTTTCTGGGTTGACTGGTGGGTCCTTGTGAGATTCTTTCATCCAGCATATGCTAGAGTAGCCTCATGGCTACTCTGTTCTGTAGTGGACGCTACTTTGGTCCGTGGTTGGCCTGTGGTTTGGTGGAGACAAAGGGAAGCTAAGAACCTCCTTTGCCTCCCAACCTTCCCTCACCTGCATCAAACAAGGGCAGGCAGCTTACAGAGTTCCAGTCGGGCTTTCCCCATGGTCCCTGAAAATCCTGAACTGACTCCTCAAGCTGCTGCAGACCTTAGAGCACTTCTGCTTAACAAACAGTGCTCTTCATCACATAGGAATAAGTACCCCTCTGAGCATGCTTATGCAATAGAAGGCATAACACTAATTTTCTGGTTCAGGAATTAGTGCACAGAGTTGGTGTGACATGTTTCAGTACAGTCTGATCGTGCTGCAACTAGATATACTGTCTGGTACGTGCACACAAGACCCTTCATGGAAATGCTAAAGTGGGTAATGATGTCCTACAATAACAGAAGTATTAAGAAAAAGCACATCCAGAGAAAGCATTCAATGGCTCCTTGATGCAAAGTGAACTAATAACACAAAATAAAACATACAAAGAAGCTTCTAAAGTCATCTCAGTTTCTCTTCAGAGAGAGAAACTTTAACATCGGGGAAAAAGGAAATAAATAGTAGCCAGAAATGCATCTCTCACTTTCATCTTCAGAAGAGCCTTTGCCCAGGATCAAGCCCAGAAGAGGAAGAGACCCAAGAAGATTCCTTCCGCTTGAGATCAAAAGGAAAGTGAAATAACAGAAAGTACTTTCAACTTTGAGATAATAATTCCATGCTACCTCTCTGCCACCCTACCCCTCCTATAGTTAGGAAAAGCAGAAGCTGTTTGAGAAGGTATACATTTTCATAGGCAACAGTCTACTCTGAAGTAGGTTGTGATCTACAAAAGCTTATGCCTCTTTGAAACAGTTTCTAAGGTACCACTCTGCCCTGCCTTATGCCTGATTTCAGACTGACAAAGCCTGCTGTCTAGCTACAGAAACTACAATCAACGCAGAGTGAGAAGCAAAAAAAAGAAATATACCCATGTGATGGATGACGAGTTTTTTTTCGCAATGCCAAAAATGCATTGTTTGTACTTCCTAAGGCCACTATGGCTCATAAAATATTAGGGCATGGATGTGTAAGATGTTTATGCTGGTGTAGTAGCCTTATGCTGGTGTATAAAGTAGCAGACAACTGACACAGACCCATAAAACTAAACCAGTTTTGCCCCATCCTGTGGAGAACAACAACCAAATGAGCTGGCATAAAGCTCCTCTGTTGTAAGTTACACCAGTATAAGTTTCTGTCCATGTACATCCCACAGTAGCCATTTGCTAAAGGCTCCTCTGCCTTCTAGCAATAGCATCAGTACACAAAATTAAATTGGTATGCAAAACCAATGTAAATTATTCCAGGATTTATGTTTGGCTGGCCAAGGCCTTAGTGAATCAGTCAGTAATTTCCTCAAAAATAAACCTTTTGCCTAAAAACACAATAGATCTTTACTCAGAAGATAAGGACAAAAATATTCTCTTGTTAGTGAAGCATAGACTACGTGGTTTAATGGAAAAAAAAAACAGATTGTCCTTTTGTTCCCCTTTTTCATCTACATTCTCAAGGATTTGGCTGAAATTTTGTAAGAATGATTTTTGCAATTTTGTGCAGATTAAAGTAACTAAATAAAAATGTTTGTAATATAAAATGAAACCCTGTAGTTTTACTCTTTGTTTTCTGTAGTTCTCAATTTTATATAAAAGGATAAAAAGATACCTGATGAAAACTTTAACATATTTATCCATCATTTGGTTCCTTAAAGTGTTTCTTTTGTTGTTTTCTGTTGTATAAATTGGACTTTATTAAATACAAAACTTGACCTGAGGACACTGAAAGGTATTTTGATATAGTCTAGACTAGAGACTCCCATTAGAATCAGACTAAACTCATTGATTTGTTAAGGAGCAAGTTGGGCCCACTAATTGCACAATAACAGTTTCCATTGACTTCAGAGGGAATTTGGCCTAAATGGAAGCTAATAAATAAGTCCCTGCCTATATAGCAAACTTAACATGCCTGGCAGTGGCTCCCTCAAGCATGTTTTGCTTGTCCATACAGGCTGAACCAGAAGCAGTGTAGTCCAGTTGGCACAGCACTGCAGGCAGGCTAATTAGCTCAGGAGTGGGCCACTTGACTATGGGAGACCGTATCTACACAGTAATGTTAGCATGCTCAACCATAATGCCCTCAGGCATGCTGAGGTGTTCTGCACAGGCTGCCTCTTAAACCAAAAGAAGTATAGCCACATCTGTTTTGTGTTTTAGGTGGACTCTAATTATCATGACAGAATGACAGGGTCACTTAACTTACCCCTGGGCTAATTAGGTTGCTCACGGCTCCAAAAAGTGCAGTTATGCTGCTTCCAGTTTGAGCCACCTACCCAGAGCTGCAAAACATACTTGAGCACAGGGCATGGTAAGTTTTACTGAGTCAACATGTATTTAACATGGCAGTTCATTACAGTGCTTTTACCAAGGTATTGCTTTAAAAGTTATGGCACTAACTTCTAGATATACAAGCAGATATGCTATAGCAGGGTTGTAGTGTTGTTATATAGCCATGATGGTCCAGGAAACAGGTGAGAAGAAAGTTTGGTTAGTAATATCTGTTCCTGAACCAACTATGTAGTTGTGCTTCCAGGCACAAAATACTCTTCCTTGGGTTCAGGAAAGGAGCAAATAAAACCACAGCTAAATGCCTGGTTTAAAAAAAAAAAAAAAGCAATGTTTTTCTGGCAATATCTTTTACTGGAGCAGCTTTATAGCTGAGTGAGATGTTAGACAAGTTTTCAGGTACAAATGTCCTTTTTCAAGCCCGTTGGTCCAATAGAAGATATCATTAAACAGCCTTGCTTCTTGCATCTCTCTTGAATTATCTTGGCTACAACAACATTCCAACCCTTCTACAGTATTGATAAACAATGATTTGTGTTTAACTCCACTATATAAATGAGCAGGGCAAGCAAGAGAAGAAGAAGATATAAATGAAACTAGTCAGTTAAAGAAGGGAAGACAGGGCAGTAAATATGTGGAGCAAAGATAGTTGAGCAAAAATAACTACAGGCTTAGACAGTTGAAATAAATACACCTATGTCAAAGAATCAGACTATTCAAGGGAAATAGAAAGAGGTTAGTAAAAGGAGCATGTAAACTATAATGAGCCATAAAACCATTGTTGTTTGTTTAATTCATGGTTTTTAATGCCCGGTAAAGTTACACATTTTTGTTCCCAAACCCATCTTCTGAAAGCATTGTCTCTGTTTCTCTTGAATACAAGGACTGTGAGGTCAGAGATGGAACTGTTATTCCGTGTAAAATATTTTCTCACTAGTGATTGGGTGTTTCTGTTCTTTATCATTTTTCTGACTGAATTTATTCTGGAGTATAGTAGTTGTTTAGTTTCACTCTCGTTGTTTCTATGAAAGAGTTCGGTACAGTGGATGAGAAGGATCACATTCTGCAGTAGACTTGTAGGATACATGGACTCTGGTACTTTCATGGTGTGGTGGGTTAATTATGATAATAGTAGAGATGTGTTGG